TTTGGAATAAGAATGAATAGTAAAATTTAGATTAAAGTGAAATAAAGTAATGAGCTACAAAGTTTGACAGGAGTTTAGGGAATAAGGAAATTAAATCTAGCCTGCACTAAAATACAGAATATACTTGTTTTAGTAGGATAGACCTTTGTTTAATAAAATTTTGAATTGTTTATTAAACTAACCTTACACAAGCTGAAAAAATTAAAACTAAGTTTTGTATAGATGAAAACGTGAATTGATCCAAATAATTTAATTTAAATTAAATATCGTTGCTGTACAAGTATTGTCAGAGATTAGTTAACATTGTGAAGAGTACTCTATTACTTCTTCAGGTTTTTTGCTAGGAATGTAGTAGATATCTGCTAACCAACCACTACTATTAACCAACTTTATTAATTTTATTATTTTTTATTAAAAAAATGTAAGAAAAATTTTATTATTTAAGAAGCAATAATTTTTAAGAGCAAATATATTTTTTTCCTTTTAAGTGGACGTTAAAAGATTAATCTTCGAAACACTTAAAATCACATACGAATATCTGAGTATCTTTTACATAAAATATTCGTGCCAAAAATTCTATTCCACCTACAAAATTTTTCAATATTATTTTTTCCTCTGCTTCCTTGCTGTGGACACAGTTCCTGCAATAAATCAGTATCCTTGACAAACAACCACAAATACGCATATCTGAAAGGAGCATTAAAATAGAAAATTAAATATGTGGCAATGCTGAAAGTAGTAAATTCACACAAATGCTTATCACAAAAATGTGTTGGAAAAACAAAGAGGTGGAACCACATATGTTATCAAAGTGTCTTTCTTTCTGCTCTATCAGTAGCAAAAGATATATCTTTTAAATTTGTACCAAAGACAAATGATTTTGTTGTAATAAACTAAATTTAAAATTTTTTTTATTTACATACAAATGAAAACCTTTTAAATATTGTAATAGTTTTATGCTACTACTGGTTTCTGAAAAGCACGTTTTTTTAATATGACTTCAATGCCCAGTTAGAAATCCGGACAGATTTTTGATATCCTTTGTGCTTAGTGCTGAACTCTATTTGAGACTTTATTGGTATCTTTTCGCCGTCACAGTTCATTCAGAATGTTTTAAATTATGATATCTCCACAAGCTGAATTCTTCACTATGTGGCTTCTTACTAAAGTCCAGAAGAGCCTAAGTATAATTAATTGATATTGGGTTCTGTGTTTGCTGAGACAGCATAAACATATAACTTTATTCCAGTGATGGGCTTAGCATGTAAGCTTACCAGCTCTTTTCTTTTTGATCTATAGCCACTTTATATAGCTATTATAGCCAATAGTGAATTCGTAATATTAAAAAATGTTTAGGAATTTACAAAAGTAAGTGATTTTTGTACTAGACAATAGTTTATTTGAATACAAGCATCAGTTTTATTTCAGTCTATTTTAAGGATAACAATCTCATATATAGTAAAACATAGACATGGGGATATCTAATTATAAAAATGCTGTGTTATGAATAAAAATATTTCAAAAGAACAGAAAAGACAAGTAATGAACTTTTAAAGAATCAAAAGTTCAACTTTCAAATAATTGGTATTTTTAGGAATAATAAAAGTGCTAACAAGATACGTATTCTGTTAAAAAAAGTACCTTCGCAAGCTAAATTATCTTGCGGATATTACTATTACCTATATAGGTTTCCGATCAGAGGAATATAAAGGAAAATAAGGAAACCAACACTTTAGCTCGCTATGGCGCTTTCAAAGACATCTTGCTAGAGATACCGGTACATGCATCTCTAGAGACTGCTAAAAGGGACACATCTCTCTATTTCTGCAGCTAACTAATAATAGATAGAAGGTGGAGTTACAACAAATTTCGACTGATTTGGCGTTTCTACAACAAAAGCAGGTCAAGCAAATTTACTAACAAGACAGACAGAGTAAAGAAACTTGCTGTAACTTGGGCAAAGAATACACAATCAAACACTGTATCTGTGACTGTCTAGCTTTGATCACGAGTTGGAATAGATTTTTAAAAGAGGTTCCGCCTCTGAGCACAACACTATAGTAATAAAATGAAAAATAATTGTTGATTATGTGGGGTGAAAGAATGTTTGCCGATCAATCACAGTAACTTACCACTAATAAGAGCAATCTGAGCTTCAAATGTATAATATATAACATATATATAATCAATAAAGTTAATTTAATTGTAATAATCTATATATTAAATATTATTTAATGTTTATTTATTCGTATAAATTTAATTGCTTAAATAGGACTTATAATTAGTTGCAGTAATATATGTTATTTGCTTTGTTGTTGGCTTTGCATATCCTC